AAGCTAATTTCGATGGTGGTTTAAAGATTTTTCTTTAAGTTTCAGACAATCAATTCAATGAATAAATTTTATTTCAGCTTCAAATAATACTCCTCAACTGATTTAGCAACTTGTAAATTTCTTGCAAATCTAAAAAATGCACTTCATGCTCTTCATCTTCTTTGTATGATTGCTACAAAAAATTGATGCAAAACCACCCTAAATCTTCTCCAAATTGCCTCAAATTTTAGATATAAGCTTATCTCAACATTTCGACTCTTTTGATTTATATTACCCATTCAAAACGGAGTTCGTATGTGGTAAGTCAAAATTAGAACTCAAGCTTATAAACTAACTTTAATGGTTGTTTCAAGTTGTGCTTCAAAGTTTCATCCTTTAGTTCGATTTTCAAGTATGCACTTGCAATTTTTGGGATTTGAATTTTCTCCGATTTGAAGCTAGTTTCGATCGTTCTTCGAACCATCGACGAACTTAGTTTCTCCTAATTTAAGAACATAGATTCACAAAATTCATATGAATGCTCGTTGATTTTTATGGAGTTCCGACATTCTTCAAATCCAAAAATCGCAGCTATATATAAACTCAATCAACCCAGTGTTTTCAGCTTCAAACAATTAGCAATCAACATTATGATAAAAAAGTTTCAATATATGAAGATCTAAGACACAAATCTACAAATTTCAACCTTTTGACCTTCAACATAGTTTTTAGAATAATAAATTAAAAAGAGAAAAAATAAAAAAAAGTTTAAATAATATTTCCAGCTGTCAAACGCGTGCACATCACCTGTCAATATAAATGTGGTTGTCACTTTTTAAGGGGGTAAAAGTCTCAATTTTAAATAGTATTGGGGGGGGGGGGTGATAGGACTCCCGTAAAGAATAAGTATGTAGTTGAGAATTTGGTCATAGCTTAAGGGGGCATTTGACCATTTTCCCTTTATTTATCTATTTAAATCAATCAAGAGAGATTTATTGATTTTTTTAGATTCTAATTATTAAATAATTACATAAAATATTATTTCATTCATTTGTTTTTGCTTGTCCACTATATTGAAAATAGATATCCGCAGTTACTTGTCTAGTTTGAAAAATAAAAAATAATTTATCACTTAGTTTTCAATTTACATTATTATTAACTATAATCATTTTTCCATGCATTTTTCAAAATATTGAATTTATTGTATCCAAAATGTGATAATGTTAAATTGTCATTCTATTTATACCTTAAGAAATGTGTTAAGTCAACACCGAACAATTAAAAATTCTAAAAAAGTTATACTTAGACTTTCAAAGTATAGTTAATACTTTGTATACAAAATTACACCAGATATATTATTATTGTCATTAATAATACTTTTGTATGGAAAATTTGGTTAAACACCTTATAACTAATGATTTTCTTAAGAAAAGTTTCAAGTTATCAATTAAGGACAATTAAAAAGGAACGTCAAGAGAATTTGGTTACTGTGAAAATTGTGTTAGATTTTGTTCGAAGACATTAATGTAAGAAGGTATTATTTTTTTCTTAAATGGTCTTAACAACTATCAAATCAGTAATTTTCAAATATACTTCTTTACAATTTCCTATTTATACTTTTCTCAGTGGATATACCAAAACCTTAAAAAATTTACTTATTGTTGACCAGATGGAAGTAAGTATATACAAACTGTTGTCTGTCTTTAATATACATCAATAAACACCATCCTTATGTCCCTTTGTTTCACCAAAATGTCGAAAAATGATTCCAAAAATTATTTTCAAAAGATGTAAAATGATATTGTACCAAAAGAACTAAGTAAACGTTTTAGCAAAATACAATGTCACGTACAATAACCAACAAGTAAACGTTATAACCAACGTCTCGTCTTTCCCCAGAAGCACAAATCCACACAGGAAAAACAGTACTATGCACAAAACTGAATAATCCAGTACATCAACATTGTGTAAGAATTTCTTCTTTTTAAGGATACATTATAACAATTACACCTCGATCCCAATTTGAGGATCGTTCACCACTATGGAAATATAGGAATAAGCTACAACAATTTAACAACTATAACTACGCCTCAGCCCCAAAAGCAAGTTGGGGTCAATAGTTACATTTTGAATGGTATTCCCAAAGCAAAAGAAAAGGAAGCTAGTATTATGGCCTCCATGCTTCTACAAATTATCTCCAAGTGGAAACTATAAAATCAGCTTCAATATACTGCAAGGAAGGATTTGAATTTGTTTGTTTGATAAAGAAAATTATACAACATGGATAAACGTTGAAGAAGTCAATGGTTCACCAACCGTCTTGAGTGTTCCATCTATAAGAAGAACCCATCTACCACTTCACCACCACACCATTCACTCTAGATTTAGCCAACACTTGGGCTGAGTGCAGCTTGTTAGGCTCGTCACTTTTGATTCATCGCCAGTAATCGAGGAGTTCATTTGCCGAGGCATGAGTATCACCACCCAGAGCATACTTATTCCCCTTCTGCACAGTGCCATGGCAAGAAAGGTTAATGGCCAATTGTGATTTGGGAACTTGAGTTTTTTATTTTAGGTTTGGAGAGGGGGTAGTGAGGGAACAATCAGGATATTTAACTTATCATGACCTCAATGTAGCAGTGAATCCAAATAAGCAGTTAGTAATTGAAAGCTCTAACGAAAGCGACTATATATGCAGCCAGTAGAAGAGGGCTTGATGGAATTTATTGTCGAGACCTAGTAGTTTTGCTACTCTAACAGAAAGAGCACAATTAGTAGCCTAAAGCTAAAATTTAATGAGAGGTCTTAAACTTGAAGGAAAAAAAACTTTTAACAAAATGACAACATCAATATGCATAACAAGTTTTGTATATTCATAGAGAATGATTATGAATTCATTTTGTATATGCATATTAGACATGATTATCAAAATGAATAGATATGCACATTTAACAAGTTTACGAGGAGTTCATTTCACTCGCTGACAAAATTATTCATTTTGTATATTTTGTTCAAGATTGATTATCAGTTTCATCATGTGTAATTCGCCAAACATGTTCATGGACGACTGGATTGAATTCTGCAATCATTCAATAATACTAAAAAAAAGTTTGTTATTTTCAAGATAGATTTTTTTTTCATCCCCCCTCCCCAACCAAATGCCAAATTAATTTTGTTTTCCATGAGTTATTATGAAGGAAATAATTCTTGACAATACATTATTCAAATTATTTTCCTTGGTGATTGATGAATTGGCACGACATATCCAAAGGGAGGTGTCATGGTGTATGCTATTTATAGATAAGATAGTATTGAGTGACAAGACTCGCGACAAATTAATGATAATCTAAAAGTTAGGAGACAGACCCTGGAGTCTAAAGGGTTCAAGTTGAGTAGACTAACACAGAGTACTTGAGTGAAAGTTCAGTGGCATGACTTAAGAGGCAGATGTGGAAGTTAAGATCGATACACAAGTCATCTCCAATAGAGTAAGTTTGAAGTATCTTAGGTCAATAATCCAAGAAAATAGGAGATTGACGATGATGTTACATAATGTATTGGAACAGGGATGAGATGAAGGCTTGCATCATGTATCTCATGTGATGAGAATGTGTCACTAAGACTTAAAGGAAGTTTTATAAAGTGGTTGTTATACTTATACCATTTATGTTGTAAGGGTCAGAGTGTTGTCGATAAAGAACTCACTTGTTCAAAAGATAAAAGTAGCTAAAATGAGAATGTTGAGACAGACGAGTAAGAGTGGGAGGATTAGGAATGAAGAAATTCGAGACAAGGTGGTTGTGGCCTCTGTGGTGGACAAGATGAAGGAAGCGAGACTACGATGGTTAGCATGCGAAGAGGATATGCACAAATGTCCCAGTGAGGAAGTGTGAGAGGTTGGCCACTGTGGGTCCAAGGAGAGGTAGAAGTAGGTCGAAGAAGTATCGAGAGAAGTGATTAGACAAAACATGGCACAACACAACTTATTGAGGATGTGACCCTACATAGGAGGATATGGAGATCGAAAATTAGGGTAGAAGGTTAATAGGTAGTTGAGCATTGTCTAGTTCTCGTTGTCAATATTATTATTATTGCTCTCATATGAGCTTAATCTTCGAATTTTAGTATTACATGTTTTCCTTTGTTTCGATTATCATATTATTTGTTGTTGCTATTGTTCTTTTCTCCAATATTTTCATCATGTCTTCTTTACTACTTTTCCCTTTTCATAGCTTTGAAATGCTTTACTTAAGTCAACGGTCTATCGAAAACCGTCTATCTACCTTCACAAGGTATGGTTAAGGTTCTGTATACACACTACCCTCCCCATACCCCACTTGTGAGATTACACTGGATATATTGGTGTAATAAATTTTCTGAATGCTCTCTATCTCTGTTAATTTGTTCTTGAACATCTTTTTTTTTTTTCTCATTTCTAAATCAATCCATGCACTCATACAACAATATAGTCTTTTGTTGTTTAATGAGTTTTGAACAACAAAAAATTATACCCTCCCCAAATTCTATTGGTGGGATTTCATTGGGTGTGTTATTATTGTTGTTTAATGAGTTTTAAGCTTAATGTTAAGATTTCTCCCATCTTTATCACCTTCACTGGCTGGTTTATTGTTCCTAGCAATAAGAACGGTGTAAAACAATTTGTAACATAAACAGAACACTATCCAAATCTTTGGAATAAACTAACCATCTTTTCATGTCTTTCTCCATTTGCTAATTTTTTTAAATTAATCTGTAGTAAAAAAAATGCCTCAAGAATTTACTCTTCGAAAACCCATGTCGGTAATTCTAATTGGTCCTTGGGCCGGAACTAAGGGGAATCAAATAAGGCAGTTGTTTTAGGCCCCTAAATTTGGGAGGGGAGGGGTATTTCCTTTAGCAATAATGGGCATATAGGTTTTCTTGGGGGAAAATTAAGTACTTTGGAAGTAAACTTTTTTATAAAAGGAAAATTTGTTTGGGTTGAGATAAAGTTAACGTTTGACTTGCTTAAAATGGGAAGTATGAATAGCTCCCCTTATGTACGAATTGGAATTCGATTGGACAACTGATATCATTATTCCACTTTTTCTCATTGGAACGTGTAATTTTCCTCCTTTGTACAAGTCACAATCTTTATTTTCTCCTTTCTCATCAGATTACATACTTCCTTTTTTATGTATTTTTCTTACTCCATCTCCAAGAGTTCATTATTTTAACTATTCAAGGCTTTAAGATTCTGATAATTTTATCATTCTTTAAGAAAATGTAGTTAAAGAATACTTAGTTCACGTTTCAAGCATTGATAAAAGTATTTTGAAAAAGTGGAATGATGATTTCACTTGTCAAATCAATTCCAATTCGGAGAAACTTCCCATCTTTAAGCAAGTCAAATATTACTTGATTTCCGATCTAGAAAAAATCTTTCCTTTAATGAAAAGGTTTACTTTTTTACAAATAGTACTCGAACACATTTTTAAAGGAAAATTATAAGCCAATTATTGCTAAAAAGGTCCCCCCCCCCCACAC